ACTCGGCCGTGTCCCCTGGACCTGTACGTTTGTATGTCCGATGTACGTACATATCCCCTCTATGTCCTTTTTCTTTTTCCTTCTTATATACTTAGATTAGATGAAAAACTAAAAAGTTCATGTTAACCATATGTTATGTTTTAAGTTGTAAAAATATATGTTATTTTAAGTTTTATTCTAAATAGCACATCTCATTGAAACATCCATAAAAATATTAATAATTAACATTATAGACTATATGATTGTATATCACAATTAAATTGGACTTATAATTAAAAAACAATTTAAATTTTGAGTAGCATTTTAAAAATTTACTCACTCCCTATTGTGTAATACTGATATATCCAAATGACATTATTAAATTTATCAAGAATGTATTTTCATATATTCTATGTTTCTATATTCATATATATATATATATATATATATATATATATATATATATATATATATATATATATTTTGGAAAATTAACAACCATATATATTTTTTACACCATGTGGATGCCCTTTTATCTCTTAAGCTTCATTCGGTCTATCTCATTGGATGAGCTTATCTAGGACACACGAAACTAAGCATGCCATCAGCGTAAGATTAATTAAATATCAAATATTGCATATCCCGTGCTTATCTAAGAAAAAATATATAGAAAAATGGTTATATACACCCAGGAGTACGTACTGTATATATATAAGGGTCATCATATATATAAAAAAACAAAATCTAGCTACTTATTTATACGTAACCCGTGGATATATTATTTTCAACCATTATTTTATATCTATATCTACGCAAGAGATGTCATAAAGGAAAAAAAAAGAATGTGTACAAGATCAGCTCCATCGAGTAGTTTTTTCTTTCTTTCTTTGTAGCTTTGAGATTTTCCTCAAATTGTGCATATGAGTAGCAACCACCCTTGGCGAGTTTGTCAAAGAATTCACGCGGCCGCAGCACCGCTTCACGCCATCTCGCTAAATTTTTTGAAAGTATTTTTTTACTAATGATGTATAAGGCAATCATGTTTCCTTAAAAAAAGCAATCACGAGCGCATATATAAACGTGTGCTCATCCATCATATAAATACACATACACACACCTACCCTAAGAGAAAAAATATTTGTCTCCAAAAAAAAGGAAAAAGTATGTGCTTAGTATTTGCTAGAAAAAACATATACACATATCATCGAAAATGCCGCATAGAACCACATTATATCTTTTTAATTATGTCATTCTCATCTATATAATGTTAATAATTAGGACAAATAATTTTGACAATATAGATTATTCCATCGTATATTACCCATGAACATACATAGGTAAATCAGATGTATAATAAAAGAAAAAACAAAACAAAAAATATATTAGTTTATATGTTTGCGAACGATGGTGAGAGATCAGATTATATATAACCGGGACAATTTGTACCGTTCTTATTGTTTAAGGGTGTAATTCAGACTTTTTCCTTAAAAGTCTTCCACATAAGGATTTATAATAAAAAATTAATCAACACTAAACTTCCTACAAACGCTTCTAAGCCTCCATGTGGCATCCTATAAATGCTCCTAAGCCGCCACGTGGCATCCTATAAATTAGAGAAATTCTTAAAAGGACACAACGTATAACTGTTGATTTTTATTAAACTTTGTGGACCATTATTTGTAACCATTAGATTTATTAGAAAAAAACATATCCTTATCCCTAGGCCCACCTCGCCCTGTTGGCAATTGCATGTACGTACGTACTTACGTCTGCTCAACCCCTCCCCCCCTTAATTCTTTCACCCCTTTTTTCACCTATTTTTTCTCCTATTTTCATTCTTTTAGAAAAGCAAAAATTGTATGCCAAACAATTAAGCAAATGCAGCATCTAAATTATAATGCTAATATTTGATCTGCTGATGTCTTTAGATATTTTACATTTTAAAACTCATGTCCTCTTTAATTCAACTGTAAAGAGAGAAATGTCACATTAATTGGGGCTACATTTTCTGACTTTTGCGTGTCATTTAAGCAATTTTAAAACTATAAAAATTAATGATATATATATTTTTTTCATCGTATATAACTTGATAATAATTAAATTATATATAATAAAAGTAAAATGAACAGATCTATGAGTAATATTAAAAAAATAGCCCCCCACATTGTAACACAGTAAAAAGTACGCATCTTATAAATGCTTCTAAGATATTATGTCGTTCTCTTAAATCGGAGAAAATACACTCTCTTAAGATATTACGTCGTTCTCTTAAATTTTAAGAGAAAATCGTAAAAATTCTGACAAGAAAACAAAATATTCGACCATCAGCTTCGACTTAAACATCTGACACATAATTTTAGTTTGTTAGATTAATCATTTAAAAAAAGAACATCCGAAATCTCCCTTCCTCCCGGCTCGCGTACAGCGTGCGCCATTATTTTCTCTCTATTTTTTATCTCCTTATCAACTAAAATTAAAATTATCTATATGTAAAAAAGACACAAATGGACCTCCATCTATTACTTATATCCTGTCAGGCGTCTAACGACTTTCTACTAACTTAATTAATTTCTCTTAACATGCCTATGAGGGCTATGTACATACAAATTGACCTTGATACTTTTAAAACGATCTTATTAGGAGATAAATAAATATTCATAAGAAAGATGATCATAGCATCCCAATTACACATATGATCTATGAAGTCACTAATCATAATAGGTATTCATCTACCAATATAGACAATAGGTTAAAAATAAATGTGTGGCCAGTTGAACATCATACCAATAAGCATGTGGGTTGCACCTAGGAATCTTAGCAGTGAAACAACCTTGAGGCAGCCTTTACAATTGGAAATTGAGCAAATGTTGCTAGATTTAAAACCCACTGTAAATAGAAAAATTCAAACATTTTACGAGTTCTGTTTGAATGAAAAAATATATAAAAAGTAAAATACAATCAATCAAAAAATTGATATTATTGGATTTTTTTGGTTGTAAGATATCCTACTGGGGAGTTAAATATCCTGAATTTTCTTATAGGAACCACCTCCTTTGTTTCGACACAATATTTTCTCATCAATTCAAAACCGCATGTTCTCGAGTAATTTTATTTTAGAATTTAAATGTTACAAGGGTAATTATAAGAAAATAATCAGGGTTCAAATCACACAAAATACTTTTAACTTTATAATATAATAAAAAATATTTTAATAAAAAACACCCACATATAAATATTCATAATAAAATTTCACTCATTATATAAGAAGGTGCCCGCGCATGTGCGCGGGCTATCTTTCTAGTTGAAACAAAAGTTGTTCAACCTAGCTAGGGTCAGGCATCACCAGTGTCGTCGTATTCGCCTTCGATCGGGGGGCTGTATTCCGTACGTTTCGCCCTACAAACCACGTCGCCACTGTTACTATCCTTGTCGACGCCGGCGCCTTGGATTTGTCCATTACTCAGCGCCATCAATCCAGCCACGGCGTCTTGAGCGGCAAGTTCGTTGGCTGCTCGCCGGTGACAGGTGAACTGCAAGACATGCATGTCTTTCACATTGATCTACTTATGTCTTTCGGTGGGAGGTAACAGGTGCCCATGCATACGTTTAGCTAATTACCATTGATCAGCTGCTATATACATTGTGTTCATACGTACTTTATCAGGATAATGGAATTCAACGGTCTCCCAGGAGTCGAGCAGATAGCAGCAGCAGCCTCCGGGGAGGACAACAACCTTCGGCCTCCCAAATTGGAAGCCGCCAATGGCAGTGTCCTCTGGAATCGATGCGGGCGGTCGTGAGGGCCTCCTGGGGGCGGGCGTCTGCTACAGCCTCCCGATGTTGAGGCAAACGGTGGAAGGAGGCAACGGCGGCGGCGGCAACCTACCCTAGCGCCACCGTAATTTTTCTTCCTTTTTTTTTTGCTCGGTTCGCTGCATTTGAAGTGGCTACACCGGTCTGGACGTCGTTTGGATTAGCGTCCATCCGCGGACGCTGTTTACAGGAGCGTCCTGATGCGGAAGCTGTTTAGAATAGCGTCCTTCTTATTTTGGTAAATACTCAAAAGGAATTACTAATTATTTAATTTAAATATTATTAATTATTATAAATAAAAAATTCCGTCAATGGCTCGTGATAATTTGTATTGTGTATCTCATTTAAAATTACTACAAAAGCTTGCAAGTTTATGGTTTTTCTAATCGAGATAAAGCTGTTGGGTTTAGTCCCACATCGGTAATTGATGATATGTGAGTACGACTTAAAAGGTGAGAGCGGTCCTCACCCATCAGACTAGTCTTTTTGGTTGTATAGGCCCAAGACCTAAAGTTGTGGCTCCGGTTAGGCCTGTGGTAGAGCAGGCCCAATGTGACCTGGGTGGGCTGGGCTGCGCACTCTAACAAAAGCACTGCAACAGAAAGCTAATATTTTTTTACATTTTAGTTATTTTGAAAAACTTATTTTATAAATAAACCCTTGGAAAAACTTATTCTAAAAATGATCCTTTTTTACAACAGAAAGACTGGCGCCGTCGTCTAACATGGTGGCGCCAACACCTTTGGCACCGTCCTCGCGCCACCGTGGCACTGTGTCGGCGAGCCAAGCTGACGTGGCAGGAGTGGGGCGCCAGTGACATTGGCGCCGTGATTTGATGGTGACACTATTACCTTTAAGTAGTATAGACATGTATTGTGTCTTTTTATCACTAGCGAGAGACTATATATGGTTACTAATTGTGAGGTACTTTAGTAGCTAGGGGCGGAGCCACCGCAAGCCAGGTAGCCGCCTGGGCTCGCCACTAAATACACCATTGAAATTTTATTTTCTAAATAAAGTTATAAAATTATAGCGAATATTAGGTATATTTAAGTTTGTCTATGTTTAAAAAGTTTTCTAGCTCCGCCATTGCTAATAGCAATGCATAAAGCGGGATGATGATCCACCTATACGAGTGAAAAAGCGCGGTGGCTTTGCTACGCGGGCCCGAATGGTTTGGGTGGGATGGATTAGATTGCGGCGGTTGGTCTGGCCTGTCACAGTGTCACCATTGAAGGCCTATCACGAGGAGTAAATTGCTCGTAGGAAAAAGTACACCGAAGGTCCCTGAACTTGTCATCGAGTTAAAAAAACGTTTTCAAACCGCAAAACCAGATATCCAGTGTCTCTTAACTAATTAAAACCGGTTACAATAGCTCCTAGAGCAGTATTACACCCGGTTTTGTCCTACGTGGCAGTTGACTCAGCGTGGGACCCACGTGGGTCCCATATGTCAGACTCTTTTTTTTCTTCCCATCGGCAGCAGCACGCGCACGTCCGACGCAACGCCATGGGTAAGGTAAGCGCCCGCGGCGGCGGACTTGTCATCGACGCTCCGGCGGTGCAAACGCACGCGCCCAACTCCACCCAAGTCGTCGGCTTCCTCACGCTCGCCGTCTCCGGCGCCGTCCTCCTCCTCCCGACCGGGCTCTGCCCATCGTGCTGCTCACAGCCCCATCTAGATGCATGTCGCCATCGCCGTCGCAGACGAGGCAGCAACACCCTTCCATGGTCAGAAAAGAAACACTGAAGACATCATTGCCGGGGCCATCATCTGCTTCAACGATAGATATGTAAGCACATCATTGATAGTTCGAAATCAAACTTGAGCAGTAATTGAAACAATTTCAGCCAAAAAAGAAAGAAAAAAGAGTTCAAGTAGAAAATAGACTCTGTTTTTGACGTTCTGCAATCTTGGATGTGTGTGTTCTTGCATTGGTGGCCGGGTAAAGATCTACAGCGGGTGCCAGGGGCAGTACAGGCTTGTCCGGAGGGCGCGCTAGGTGTGCGGTGTGCCATCGGAGATTCGGAGGCGGCGGAGGCGTTCTGCGGCGGGCCGTGCCAGGCGGAGATGAACTTGGTGCTCTACATCGACGGGCGACGGGCGACGGGCGACGGGCGTGCGCGGCTGGTGGGGGAGGAGCTTGGCGCCGACGAGGTCGACGGGGATGTCGCGGGTGGGGATGCCAGCCTCTCCTCCTCCGCCGCCGAGGACGTCGCCCTCCGCTCTTGCTTCCCTAAGTTCCGTCGCCACAAGCTCTACCCCTTCACCTTCACCGTTCGCCGCGGGCGTGGGCGGCGGCAGCGGGGATGAGCCGGCCGCCCATCTTCGCCTGCTGCGCCCAGCTCCTCTCCCCCGCTGTCGGTCGCCACGCACCCCGTCGCAGCCGGCGCCACCTTGCACTTGTGCCTCCTCCCATCCTGCTGCCGCTGGCCGTCGTGGCGACGAGGCGGCCCCCCGGCGGCGGCGAAGAGGATGTCCCGGCGGCTTGCTTGTCCCGCCTCGTCCCCTCCTTCCTCGCGACGCACCCGACTGCGTTGCCCGTCGCCGCCATCACCGGCGCTGCGTCGCAGCCGTCACCGCCGCCGCGTCGCCCGTCTTCGGCCGCCGACGCCCTCCTCCTCTCCCGCCCCGCTGACCGCCGGCTGCGCTCAGCTCCTCCCCCACCGGCCGCGCCAACCTCACCATGCCCAACCTCTCCGTCCCCGCCGCCCGCGCACGCCCGTCGCCCGTGGAAAGGGAAAGGGAAGGAGAGAGGAAGGAAGAAGAGGCTTACATGTGGGACCTATACTGAGTCAGCTGACAAAACCGGGTGCAATACTGTCATAGAACCTATTATAACGGTTTTAATTAGTTAAGAGACGTCAGATACCTGTTTTACGGTTTGAGAAAGTTTTTTAACTCGATGACAAGTTCAGGATCTTCATTGTACTTTTTCCTTGCTCGTATATGGCTGGACTGGCTGGTACGATGATGGGCCAGCCAATGGCACCGACCATACTGCCGCTTGGAGTGGCAGGCTTAATGTGGCAATCAATACTCGGAATAAGTTTATCTAGGTCCCTTAACTTGCTAATGAATCCGATTTTCATCTTTTAACAGAAAAACCAGATACAACATGTTCCTCAACTATCAAAATCAGTGTAAAGAAGGTCCCTTGACGGTTTTGGCTGACGTGGCGCCTAGGTGGCTAGATTGACTCGGTCTTCATCTGACGTGATGCTTACGTGGCAATTTGATCTGGAAAAATAATAAAACCCGTGGGACCCACGTGTCAGTTTAGCGCACATAATAATAATAAATGGTGGGACCCACGTGGGCCCCACATGTCATCCCCAATCCCCTTATTTTCTTCCTCTCTCTCCCCGTCTCCACTCTGTTCACCTCTCTCCCCTCATCCTCGCTCCTCTCTCTTTCCTCTCCCCTCTCCGGCCACGTTTGGATCTACGGAGGCCAGGTGCGCGGAGGCGAGGCGCACCGAGGCGGTTGGGCCCGGGTGGACAGTGAGCGCTGCAGTGACGGCGCCCGGAGCGAGGCTGCCGCCGCCGTCGAGGCAGAGAGGGCGCCAGCGGGAGGAGATCGCGGCGGCGGCAGGAGAGGCCATGATTCGTCTTCGTGGTCACCTTTCTCCATTGTTTTTCCATTTCTCGTTACTTGGTTGTTTAATTTGTTTGTTTGCTTTAGCTCTGCTCCCCGCCATTAATTGCTCCTGCTGCTTGCTACTAGCGAGACAACGAAGAAATCAGAGGATTTAGGTTTGAATTTCAAATCGACGGGATTTGAAAAAAATCGGTGTGTCTGTTTTGACTGCTCGTGGTTGGTTTCTTGTTTAGCTGGATTTGGTGCAAAAGCGGAGATATTTTTCTTACTACTTTTTAGCCTCCTTTTGGTTAATCTTTGTTTGATCCAAGAAGAAAATCAAGAAATCGCCATGGAGGCCGGTCGCTGGTGCACAAGGTGTTGTCCATGGCGACGTCGTCGTCTAGGAAAGTGAAGCCGGTGACGAGTAGCGGCAAGGGCGGCGCGGCGCGGCGGCGGCGGCGGCGGAGGGGGTGGATGACGGGAAGGTCGACATCCTGTCATTCGATGTGGCCAACGCCATGTCGCGCGCCGCCAACCTGTATCCGCTCGCTGTCGGACACCGAGGCGGCGCGGCTGCTCACCTGCTCTGCCTCGGCTCCCAGGCCGTGCGTGCGCTCGTGCCAGGCGACGACTCGTGGCTCCTGGCGCTCACGCTCGCCGAGAAGCTCGACGCGCTCAACCGCGTCGCAGAAGTGGCGACACGCCTCGGCAGGCGGTGCATGCTCCAGGCGCTCCTCGGGTTCGACCACGTCTACGCCGACCTCCTCGCCGGCTGCTCCGACGCCGTTGCGATCTCCTCCCGCTGACGCCCTCTCCGCCTCGACGGCGGTGGCGGCCTCGCTCCGGGCGCCGTCAGCTTGGAGCTCGCCGCCCACCCAGGATTGAGGATGACATGGGGGGCCCACGTGGGTCCCACCATTTTATTATTATCATTTGTGCGAAACTGATATGTGGTCCCACGGGTTTTATTATTTTTCTGGATCAATTTGCCACGTAAGCACCATGTCAGATCAAGACCGAGTTAAACTAGCCACATACGCGCCACGTCAACCAAAATCGCCATCAAAACCGTCGAGGGACCTTTTTCACCGGTTTTAATAGTTGATAGACCTATTATATCTGGTTTTCCAGTTAAAGTATGAAAATCGGATTCGTCGACAAGTTAAAAGGACCTTATTCCATCAATACTCTCATCGCGTACGTACGTTCGTCACATTAGTAGGCCTCGGCCCATGTTGCGATTGAACCTCTTGTCCAGAAGGGGCTATACTAGAGCCTGGACGCGAATTGCCACTGTACGCAGTAAAAGCATGTGAAAGAGGAGTAAACAGAGCTTGGGAGTACACTGTAAACGAACTTGTGCTGGAGTGGTTAGCTTGGTGCTCAACTTGTGGAATGAAATGTTCCACACAACACAAAACTAGTGAGAACTGACATGGCACATGCCAACAGCGCGAGTTACTCTATGTCTCCATCTGCCCCATAATATAGTAATCTAGAACCGAATAAAATTTAGGCAGGAGGGTATATGATTCATTATACTATAAAAGGAAAAAGTATGAATTACCCCTCCCTCTAAACTTTGTGGTTGGCCGAATTACCTCCTAAACCCTAAAACCAGATATCATTCACCTTGAACTTTCAACATCGGACGAATTACCCCCTCAACCCAATCCAAAGTGGTTTTGTCCGACATAGCGTATGCGTGGTAACCCAGTCAACATTTTCTTTTTTTTTAAAAAAAAATAGTGGGGCCCACCTGTCATAGTCTCTCACCTCCTCTTTCTCCTCTTCCCCTTCCCCCTCCCCCCCTCTCTCTCTATGGCGTTGCCAAGTGCAGGAGGTCGGTGCGTACGGCGGCGCGCGGGGACGGACGGTAGGCGGCGACGTCAGAAACGAAGGCAGGACATCGGCTGCCACAACCGCAGCCAAGGTTGAGGCGGAAAAGGCCGGAAGGAAGTGGGCGGGGTGAAGGTGGTGGTGGTGTGGGTGACGCGCGCCTCGCCTGAGCCTGCCTCGCGCTGCTGCTGAGACCGTGTTGGCGGCAGGGGGATCCCCGTGTGGTCGTGGACGAGCGCGACTAATTCCCCCTCCCAGCCGCACCCATGGCTATCGATTTGGACCTAGTCGGCGACGGGGACCTCTTCCCCTTACCCGACGACTTGGACTTAATTAGTTGGTGAGGACGACCGCTTGGCCTTCACCGGCGAAGGCGGCTTCTCTCCTGCCGCCTGCTCCGGCTTTCCCCATCGCGCCATCCGCCTTCACGGCAGGCTGCAGATGCGGTTGCCGACATCAACCCGGCCACGCTGCAGCGGCGTCGGGAAGAGGACGTGGAGGAGGAGTTGAGGCAGAAGCGGGAGGAGGCGACTGCGGAGGAGGAGCCTGATTTCGCGTCTGCCGCAGCACCTCGCCCTCCCAGCCGCGTCCCCTCCATGCCACCCACCACCTAGCTCCGCCCTCCGGCTCCTGCATTTGCGTCTCGCACCACCCCACGCGCCCACCGCAACGCCCTCCCAGCCGCACCCCTTCCACGCCTCCCACAACCCAGCTCCGGCTTTTGGTTCCTGCATCTCGCCTTGCGCCGCCGCCCACATGCACCGCTGTGCGTGCCTTGTGCCCGCGCGCGCGCGAGAGAGAGATAGATAGATAGATTAGGAAGAGGGTTAGAGGAGGGATGACAGGTGGGTCCCACTATTTTAAAAAAGAAAATGCTGACTAGATTGCCACGCGTACGCCACGCAAGATAAAACCGCTTTGATTGGATCGAGGGGGGCAATTCGTCCGGTATTATATTGAAAGTTTAGGGTAAGCAATATCTGGTTTTCGGGTGCAATGGGTAATTCGAGCGAACACGATATATTAGTGGGTAATTCATACTTTTTCCTACTATATAAAATATTCTATCTCTAGGTTCCTATATTATGGGACAAATAGAGTACGATTGAGCTACTAGCCTACTAGTATCAACATGTATTGGAGCCCGTACCTGAGGCAACACATCAACATGTTGAATCCCTACAAATCCCAGTGTCCCGTTGATGATTCTATAATCTGTAAGTCATCTAAAAATCCTGAATTCCTGATTACCTGTGTCTCACCATTTTGGCCTCAGCGATTCCGTAACAGATTGAAATCCGGTCTAACCAACCACTATAAATATGAGTACTTGGATCCCAAGCCTTATAACTAAGGAATATAAAAAAAATAGAAAAAAAGCTAGAAGACTAATAAGAAAGAAAATCAGAAAACTTCACTAGAAAGAGAAAAATTAGAAGACTAAGCTTTAAATCTTCTTCTACGCACTTGCTTCAACCTTGAACTATCCTTATGTAGCAAGAATCAGTAATAACATCGATGTAAGAATCATCCTGCTAGAAATTAGCTCATCTTCACTAATATTTTTATCAGTTTTAATTTAGTGGATATCATGCTTATTTTCCCCTGTAGAATGGATTAATTTAACCTGTAGGTTTTAATATTTATTTCCGATTGTAGTTATTTATGTTTAGCATGAACTATTTATTAATATTTCAACTTATATTCCAGTTATAGCATTTATATTTTTTTTGGAAAAAGTCTAAATACCCCCTAAACTTTAAATTAAACTCCATTTAGCCCCGTGAACTTTGAAACCAGATATCCAACCTCCTGAACTTTACAATATTTTTACGCATCATCAATTGTAGGTTGTAACTTTATGCTGTACAGTGATATCATACAACTTGTACTTTTCTTGTAAGTGAAAGCAAACAAGATGCAAAAAGAAATATTTAAGTGAAAACTTTAACATATATATCCAATGCTTATGTCACATGATCAAAGCTAAGCTAATGTATATACAAATTAAATAAAATCCATTTTGTAAAATCACATTAGGAGGTTGTGTGAATGTATTCTAAAGTTTAGGGAATTGAATGTTTGGTTTCAAACTTTACAATGCTGATAGACTTTCAATCAAAATTTTAGGGTTCTAATTTTTTTTTTGCATGCGATATATAATTGCTAGTTTTATATGTACTCTCTTTTATTTTTTTCCTAGTTGGATTCTTTGGTTTATCTTGTCTGTAGTAACTAGATGAAACCCCGCGTGTTGCTGTGGGAGTTTGGTATGATAATAAGAAATAGAAATAATGTGTAAGATAGCTAGACGATAGAAACTTATATAAGTTGATGTGGTTTATCATAATTTAAATAGTATATAGAATAATGACCCAAATTTAAAAGTAATATGATGTGGCTTTATGAGAGAAGAAAATAAGGGAGATAATTCCAACCATAGATTGATCATTTGAGGGCTAGAAACAATTGAGGTGATATGGCTTAATGAGAGAAGAGAGAAATAACATTA